TTGCGCTGCGACCTTGCCAAATCAGACATATATTTCATCCTTTTTAATGAAGTTGAGCAAAATCTTCAAATTTGTGAATTTAGCGAGTTTCACTTCATACGTTGTTACTAAACATGCCCAAATCATCAGTAGCTGCCGTGACTCATCACCCCAACCACTGCGTCCCCACGGCTAGGCAACCTGTATGTTAAATTTGTGTTGATATGGCAGCTGATTATGCTATAAATCATATGTCACAGTTTTTATGCACTAATTACAACGGTTAGATGATACCAAAAATATTTCCATAAATAGGAGATCTATCCCATTTGGAATCGAACAATCTACCAAAGATGGTAATAATCATGATGCCTAATAAATTTTTATGAAAAATCCGCTGTGCGTAGGTCTATCAGAGCTTTCTTATATTTCCTCATCAATTTGATGATACAATACATCTGCCAAAGATGATCATAATCAGGATAGTAAACAATGATGAAGGTCCACTGTATGTGAGAATTTTCAGATACTTCATTAGCAATTTGAAGATACAACAGACCATGATGGATTCCACACTTTTCAAATATTCTTCAAGATTTGATATCAGTCTAGCTCCAAATATCATAGGTACTATGTTTGTGTTCTTACTTTAAATTCAAAACCAGCAAATGTAAAAGATTCTTTTCAAAGTTCCTAGGCACACTCCACCTCGGGACGTGATCGTTGTTAGACTTGGCAACCCTGCGAGTGACCGATGGATATCCCAACCAGTCAAAAAGGCAACAAAAACAAGAAACATTATTTTTGATTATGATTTTTTGAGTTAGAAGGCATTTGTCAGAAATTACTCATAATTTTTTGTCCATGTCTATAGTAATTGCATAATACATCGTGGAGATCTAGGGATTGACACGTCTTACACATATCGGTGTTTTAGGATGGAGAGGACATAATGTTTTGATTGCTTTGAAGAAATTCATTAACCCACGAATTGATAATAAATGGTTACTATTATGATGTAAAGGAAGATGAGAAATTGGTTATGTATTTTATATTCTATTTTCTTGCAAATTCAGCACATTTCAACAGGTATGTAGCTATAATGATAACATGTAAACACTCAGTATGGAGAACTGAACAAATTCGAGATTGCCTTGCAATAACAGACGGTCAAGCATGTTATCAAATTTAATAGCTATAAAATCGACCTATTATTTGTCGCACTCCCATTGGCTGAAGAGATAACCGACCCATTATTTGTAAATTTATATGAAAAAGCAAAATACATGAAAGTTGTCCTGTTTTCTCTGTACAAAAGCATCATGTTGGAATCAAAAAGTGCTCTTGTTTATAATACAATCGCTTTGTATCTTTGAAGGCATTAGTAAATTGGCAGCCAACTTGAATGCTTGAGAAATTTGTTTACGTTATTAGCAGCGCCTCCTACACGTGTTTCGGATAAAACCACGAGCACAAAACTAGTATGATATATTTCGTAGACTTTAGAAAATGTTAATGAATGAAGTGCGATTCCTAGCGCCATTCTTTGAGGGGAATGATATTTATCCTTAAAAAGTTATAATGGAACTTGTCACATTATCTTCTAGATTCTATATGAATCGTGTACTAGCATGGTAACAGAAACAGGTATTAGATATAAGAAAATACAGTGTATACTTATGTTACATGGATTAAAAATCAGAAGCCCCGTTACTTGTTGCAATTCAATCCTGTCTTGTGAATTGGTTGCATTCAAAGACGACAGCTTTTCATGCACCATCAGAACTAGTTATAACGTTGGCTGGGTCGAAACTGATACCAACTTGAGGATAGAGACACGAAGCTAGCAATGTTGCAAGTTTCGGAAGTAATTTCGAATCCCCTCATGCAGTTCCCCTGGTCCCAGTCGATTGTTGATAATCAACACTTTATTGACAAATCCGAATTGGAATACTAATTGATTTTCTGAATTCTGTCTGGCATTTCCAATAATGACAGCACCTTGAAGAGTTGTACTGTAATAATCTGTTATATGTCTGCAAATGAAGAACTCAATTACGTTGCTCCAGCATCCCAAATTCCGTCAGAGGTAGGTCAAATCCTTTGTTGTCTCTCATTCCGAATTAATTGTACTATATCATCAGTACTGATCGGAATGACGGATCTTTTTTCGTAGAATATCTGGCATATAGTATCGTGAGGAACGTTTTCTATCTCCTCTGACCTTTAACTAATTAGTTTGAAGGTCTTGAACGACGTGTGAAATAACCAGATGGCGCGCTTGAGTATGCGGGTTCGAACCCGCTTCTGTTGGTAGTAGAGCGAGTAAGTACCACGGATTTGATATCGGGAGTAGAATATGTGCAGGTATTGCTCAATAAGTTAGTAAGAAATGACGTGTTGTTCCTTTATTATCTGTATCCTCCCATAATCCCCAAAAAAGGTCAAAGGGCCTCCCAACCACCAACAACACTACTAATACCAGCTATTAAGTCCTAGGTTTGAGTAAAAACCACATCCGATGTGCCTCCCTAATTCCTCCTCCACTTTGATCCCCCTTTCGCGATTACAATACTTCCACTGGCATAGGAAGTAAAATAATACTAGACGGCAGCATTAAGAGAGGGTCCAAGAAAGCTGTACTAGTTTTTGTCCTTGTTTAGGATCGTAATGGCAGCAACTTTCAGAAGCATTTTGAACAAATAGCTGATGAATTATTCGAGTAAGATTTGTAACGGTCTACTCAGTAGCGGCTGGTACTGGTTGTATGTAGTGAGGCGGCGAGCACTAGCCGACACGATCCAAAACTAATTTAATTTGTTGCTGGAAATATATTAAATTCGTAGTGAAATTGTAATAAATGTAGTAGAGCCTTGTAGCTTCAATATTAAGAATATTATTGCATGAACTCTTAAATACGCGAGTTTCATATGTTTCCAACAACATACTAACTTAGTTTTGAATTATCTTAGTTAGTGCTCGCCGCTCTAAATGTAAATTGTACTAATAAATAGTTTACATACATCCCACTCTTTCTAACATAGATATTGCACGCTTCCCGCGCTTCTCTCTCGTACACATTACGTCATCAGCCAAATTTGAACCTCACCGTGTATGTTTCAATATGACGCTAAATGCGCTCATGTTTCCATTATTATTTAATTTGTGATGAGTCTTGTAAATCGGTTTGTTTAGTTTTCAGTATCGATGCTGTTAGGACCGCTCTTCTCATTTTAACATATTTTTATTTCATCTGTTACCAATACTTTGATAAGAACACACACACACACACACACACACACTATTATTAGTGTATACATAACAGAAACACAACATAGATTTAAGCTAAGCGTAAGGTAGGGGCCACCTATTTAAAGATTGTGTGACAACCCCAGGTTGTATATATATATATATATATATAAGGGGTGGAGCATCGAAGACGAAACAGACACATTTACTGGCAACACGTGAGCCCGCTGGGCGGGGGTGACACCAACCCTAAAATCTTAAATGGAAAGGGGGGTCGAGTGATACCTTATTTTAAAGGTCTTTCAATACCCTTTATAATGATGTAAAATACATGAGCTTCAGTTCAGTAGTTTTGAAGGTTTATTGATTTAAAGCTTAAAGTAGACTTTAATAGGTACAAAGATGAGCCATCCAACTTGCACATACCTCTTGCATCTTCTGGCCTCCAAAAATACCGAATTGCAACATTGTATTAGCACGGAAGACGGTCTAAAAAGCATGATTGATACTGGCAGATAATGTCCGAGCAATAATTTATAGATAAAAAGTACCGCATTCTATAGAGGCGCGTGGCTTGGTTGTCTCCAGTGGCGGTTGGCTATTACTGTTGATCAGGTGTATGCTTAATTAAATTCCTAATATGGTGTGATTTTCAAAGCAGATTACGTCTTTATTTGTAATATCCAGGCTTTTGAAAAGCAAAATATTTCTTTCAAATTTCAATATGAAGCATGTTGTTGATTAATTCTGATATGATAGGTTGGATGTTTGGTATTGAATAGACAAGCCGTAAGTGCTAGGCAACCGAACATAGTTACGTTTGGAAACTGAACATTCTCATCTAAAATATAAATATGAAAAACGTTTAGTTTACGAAATTAGCGCTGGCCATTTATCCTTCTTGCAACTAATTTCATTAGCTCTGAAAAGTATTTCACCAGTATTTACTTTAACCACTTTCTGTGTCTATACAAAACTGCATGCTGGTCTACATGCTTCTTACTTTGTAGACATACTGGTAGGTTCAGCCACTTTAGACAGAAACCAAATATATAGAATTTTTGCTTTTCCAGAAATCCTCCCAATGCTAATACAAACAATTATGATTTGTTAATTTCATTCATCTGTGACTTCCTAGTTTAGTCCGATGACGGAAATTTGAAATGTGCCCATAAAAATGATTTGTAGGAGCCACTGTTGTGTTTTATTTCGCGATAGTAATTGTTTCCTGTAGATTGAGATATTGCTCAACCAGTGGTGTTATCCAGGAAAAGATCTGGGGGGAGGCTCAAGATCCAGGGTGACACGAAAATTCCGTCTCGGGGCGGGGAGGGGTGTCTTGGAGATATAAAACTGCATAGCAGAGGCGGGGACTCGCTTAGTCCAGGTAGCTGCACTTCACAGAAGGAATAACATGCTGTAATATGTAGAAGAAGCGTAATGAGCTGTTGCGCTTCGGGGGGGTAGACTCCGAGGAGCCCGAAAACCCTCCCATGAATACGCCGGTGTGCCCACACCAGAATAGGAACAGAGGCGAGGGGTCTGTGGGCCTAGCTCAAAGAGTTCCGCGCTTCTTTCTAATATCATTGGGATTGCACCCAGCCAGCGACGGCGACGAAGTAAATAATAAATGAATAAGTAGTCCTTCTTGATTCAATTTACAAATTAATGCATTAATCAAAGAAACTATCCTGTTTTTAGTCATAAAATATTACCAAACATTTGAGAAACAACATAGTATTTTAAATTTCAATAAGTATTAAGAGTAATCCCTCCTAGGACTTGGTAAGGGACAGAAAATGCAATAAGATTCCATGTTTACCTGACCAGACGAATCCACATATATTATGTTTTAAATTACTTGTTCTAATCTATTTTAAGAAATATCCAAAAAAGCCACCGTGAAAAAGTAATTCAAACATATATAGTTTCGTTTGCCCAGACCCAAACCACAAAATGAGTTTTAGGTATTACAGTAAAATACAATAAATAGACTCTATATATGCATTGCGCGAAAATCCCCAGTTTTGGAGATCTTCTTTTGTGGTTTCTTTAGCATCACCCGAAACGGTAAAAACATATATGAAAAATTCTTGAGGTTTCGTTCTCAGTTTCCCTCAAACACACACACGCACTTGGTGTTCGAAATATATTGCATTTTAACTCCCTTTTCTTGTCCTGGAAGAAATACGTCGTGATCCTGTGTATACCTCGGTCCCTCATAAGATGATCTTGTTATTTGCAGACAGAATGAATTCGCAACAATATGTGGACATTTTGAATAATAGTTTTATCCCATCATACCGGATTCTCTATAAACAAGGTAGAATCAGTTTTGTGCAAGATAATTCCGCCGTTCATACGTCACACATGGTTGCGAAATTATCTTGCACAAGAGGATTACAATGTCATTGCCTGGCCAGCAAAATCTCCAGACCTTAACCCAATAGAAAACCTGTGGGATATAATGGTCCAAAAATGGAGCACTGGCGGACCGCTCCCCAATAGGCGGGATAATCTAGACACCCATTGTAGGCGGATATGGGAATCCTTCCGGGGAACGGATGTCTGCAAAAACTTGGTGGACAGCATGCGCACTAGGATGCAATCCTGTATAGACGCAGAAGGTTATCCTATCGCATATTGGTAAGATATTTTATATAGCGTATTGTATTTATATATCATGCATTAAAATTGGCTCCGTACAATGATTGCTCGAACCGTTACGAGTAGTATCGCATAAACATGGTGGAAAATACAAAAAATGATTTTGTCAATCATATGATACCCCCTTCTCGATTCTACTACCCCTAAAACACATTGACGGATTTAGAAGGCTGACTATTATTACCTCTAATCGCATACTAGGAAAAAAACTCGGGCTGATTTTTTGTTCATTTTCGTGTTGTGCTTTTTGTCACTGGAAGCAAACTGTAGCTAAACTGTTTTCACAGCTTCTTTAAAAACTTACTTAGGCAGGCTTCGCCTTGAAATGATATTTTCAATTTGGGGGATGGGACGGAGATTTTTTTATATTGTATGTATACTGGAAATCTATTAACAATATGTATTTTTTTCAGAATGCTACGTGGCCCGTATTAGATTTTTGTAAGAATGCTTTTGTTTATTTGTTACTTTTGTTTATGGATTTATACAGAAACTGTTTTTTTTGAGAATTCTAGATTGATTTATTACTTGTTTGTATTTTAAAGGATATTATTTTTATTTTAATTGCATGGAATTGACTATTTTATTTCATTATTTTATAATATATTATATATATACTCCATAATCATTTGAATTTTTATTGAACCACTCACTACCTTATTATAACAATGAGCTGATGGATTATAATTTATTGTTTCCGCAACCTACGTTTTTGGCTTGAATGCCAAATATTTGACCTACCATAGAAAAATAAATTCATCTATCAATCTCTGTTTGGGGACCAGTTATTAAACAGACCGTCGGTAATGAGTAGTCAGGGGAGCAGAAACACTTCGTTCTGCGACCTGTCTTTATGTAGAGCGTCTCTCTTTTTTCCTGTATAATTTATTGCCGGTTTATTTCTTTCATCTCCTTTACCGCCGTCTGAGCAAAAGCTAAACATACACGGTAATTTTTTCTGAAAGGACATGCGATAAACAGGTTACAATAAAAATAAGAGTTTTGAGCGTAGCAACTAGAATCCTTAGAGAAATTTTACATGGAGTACCCTTCAAAACACTTTAAGGAGTGTGTATATTTCGTATTTTCAAGTGTTCTGTTCTGAAGATTTATAAATAGGAAAATTGATATATCATTATCTTAAAAATCGCCGCAAATCCTTCCACTCAAATCTGCCGTTGGTAATAAAGGAATCATCAACTTGAGCATTTTATAGACCAATTGCGTATGAGTGAAAGACGAAAGGTAAGAAATCAAAGGCACTGGCTGTAATGAAGCTTCTCAAACGCTGGGAGATTTTAGGTACGGATTCGCGTCGTGTATCGGCGGAGTGTGGGTAGAGACTGTTGATTATGATTTGTTCACCAAAATATTCATACAGATCATATTCTGGCGGAATCATGCATATTATTAGCGTGTATGTCCAGCTTTACATCCACCCTTCTACTGGATAGATACACCCACACACATGTCGGTATACAATAGGTTTTTTTTGTTTATGATTTACTGCCTGGAGTCGACCAAGATATCCAAATATAGGGAAGAAAGGTTACAGGCGGATGGTTCACCTGAATGGGTTCCCTACTTTTAATTTTATTGATTTCAACAGAGTAATGCGTAGTTTGGCATGTCATAGAGTAATTGAGTTTATACAGGGTAATACATATTATTATTTTTTCTGTCTAGACGATATATGATAAATAGCATTTTCTGGAAAATAGGCTTGAAAAATAGAGTGCTTTAGCGTTCCACCCATTGGCGATAACCCACCTATCGTTCTGGTTTCCTTGGCATTGTGCAATATCCAGTAACTACTATACTGATTCTAACAGAGGTTGGAATGGATTATTGTTCGGTCACAAGTTTGAAAATGAGTGTAAGAGCGCTAAACGTAGTAACCAGAAAAGAAAGCAGATTTTCCAAACTATGTGCTTACATCCTAAAAGCTTTTTCAGTATAGATGAAAACAATCACTTTGTTTTTTCAATGTTCGTATTTATTTTTCAGCGAACATGAATAATGTAGACTGAAGAGTATAAAATTAAATAAAGAAATGGAACATCACATCTATTTTCTCGCAATATACTTGAACGATCTACTTTGGAAATGTTTGGCAATAATCATTGACGTAGAATGCAAAACTAAATAACAAATTTGTATCGTATTTTGTTCTTTTTGGTACTACCCAGTCATGAATCACAAAAATCTAGTTGTTCGATAAAAAGAGTTCCAGCACGATGTAATTTAAAACTAACAACTTTCTAGGAGAACATAAAAGAACGGTGGGCCTTTGGAGTCGCTATCGAATGATCTTATAATCTTCCATGTTTGTCTAGTCGCAAATAAAACCTCATAAGCTAATAGTGATGACATTCCGGCAACCACGGTGGCGTTTTTAAGCAAATACATAGGTTATTCTTTACGTTTAGTGGTGTTACAACTTAACCGACGATGTCTCAAATTCCAAATATGTTAGAATAACAATAGTCGCCTTTACATCATTAGCGGAACATCGAAATATTAGCACCCCACTTCCTGCTAGTTTCGCGTCACGTAAAACAATCCAGTGTTCTGCGGTCAACTACCTTCAGGTGACCTTCATTCCTGGATGTTTATCTTCCTCCTGACTAGCTGCTATATCACAGACATCACAATTTAACTGCATGTAGGATTTGGTGTACCACAATGTAATTTCAGACACCTCGCCAAAAACTGTTTTAACGACGGAGTGACGCAACTCTTCTATAGTCCATATCATTCCGCCACTACTTGCTTAACCACCTTAGGCGCTAATGCGACGTTGCAGTTCAGTATTTTGGGAGGCCATAAGATGAAGGAGTATGTGCAACTTCGATTGTTAATTTTTGTACATCAGATTAGTTTGTACTACTTTCAGAAGAAATTTGACTAAAAGAATTTACTTAATAAGTAAATGCTTTTCTTCACTACGCCCATGGTTTGTTTATCATTTTGTTGTTGAAAATAACTATTGGAGCGTTTTTTTTTTTGTGGCAAAAAGTTATTTCTTGAAGAAATATAAGGAAATATCTCGTACTTATTTTAAATAGTTATTTAGTACGTAGTTTGCTATTAATTTGTCCAAACTTTGTTGTTAAAATAACTTGTAACGCTTTATTACATAAATTAAAATGTGCGGCAATGTTTTGAGCAAAATCTTTATTATTGCATGGAGAGTCATGGTGGTCATTTTCAACATGTACTTGCGTAACGGGTCAGTTCATTCTTCATTTTTAAATTACTTTGCTGCCAAATGTATTGATCTCCACTAATGATGATGTATTAGTTTTATTTAAGCTTTATAAATATAAATAAATCTTCAAAATTACTGAACTGAAGTACATTAGTTTTATATCATTATAAAGGGAATTGAAAGACCTTTAAAATAAGGTATCACTCGACCCCCCTTTCCATTTAAGATTTTGGGGGTGCACGTGCTAACGTGATTTTTTGCCAAACTTGTGTCCCCCTCGAAAACAAAATCGAGGGTCTGAGCGTTTTTCAAAAAAAAAATGAGCTGCCAGTAAACGCATCTGTTTCGTTTTCGATGCGCCACCCTGTATATATACAATATACCTGTATATATATACTCGTATATAACTTGAGACATGGTCATTGTCGTCTAGACCAGTTAGGTGAAAAATAATACAGATGTCAAGCAACTGAGCGTCATATACTCATATTTGCTAAACTGCAAAAAGTTGGACCACTTACACTTCTCTCCAAATTTTAGTTTTTCACAACCATAAATGGAATCTGGTTTTTTTGGTCTATTCCGCCCTTTTCCTCCAAAATTCCATTCGATTCAAATTTGAATAATTGGTTTTTTCTCATAATAAAATAATAATTTTTTAATCCAATTGTCCATCTCATTAACAATACACTTTGTTCAACTGCCTCTGGTCTGTTGACAAGTTTTTATTTAACATATCTTGATAAATCACACCATCTGAAGTGATTTGGCAACATAGCACCCATTTTTACAAATTTTCGTTCCATCCATCGACACTGCCACTACCAGCCTTCTGTCATCTGTCAAATGTTTCATCCTACTTATGATGCTGAGCCACACCATTTTGTGCAGCATCAGGTTGTCTCACGATGTAACATGTAATAATTTTAACTTTCGTTCCAAATATTTTTAATCCATTTTGATGTGTTCCTGTGTGTATTTTATACTAATTTTAACAAATGTACCATGTATCCAGCTTTCACCAGGTTACTAAATGTTTCCCTCAATCATCTATGTCTCACATACTGTTGTAAGTAATCATTTTGCACAATAGTTGCTGTTTCTTCCTAATGTTGTTGTAGCTCCTGATGGAGATGGCATAGTCCGTCGAAAGCTAGAGACTAATAAACTATAAAGAGTCCTCATTGCTTGAATTTTATCGAAGTACCCAACTAAAGGCGGAATCTTTATTTTTCAAATATATATAATAGGAAAATAGTGGGCAAAATCCGCAA